AAGTTACGCCGGCACTTCGCAAAGCACTTGATGAAAAAGTGGCTTAAGTTAGCCCTCCCATTTTCTTACAAAATGTCATTTTATGTCAATCACAATTTTGAAGAAAAGTCGATGGAAATGGCATGTTAAAATCATCGCGAACGTAGTTTTAATCTCTTTCACCAGTCGTTATTGAAGTGTTTCAATGGTAGAAACACAGGGCATACCGGTAACACTGATCAGTACCTTCTCCGGCTGGACAAAAGGTTGAACATTGACAGGTGACATGGACAAATCACTGTGGGGCACGTGTGTGCGAATATGCCATGGTACATGTACCAGCGTACGTACCGCACCGTACCGTCCGCTAGCACATGGCCGGTCGGGAACGGGCAGCCTTGTGAACGATCCAGTGGATAAAATCATTATGTTGTGTGATTTTCGGAGGTTTAAGATTTAGCTGTACAAAATGCAATGCTTAAAAAATCGTGATGATTATCTCGAGGATAGCGAAGAGAGCATTAGCGAAACATTTCACTGGCATTTGTTGGACGAGAAAGATGATAATGCCTGATTTTTACCCACGTATGAATGCAAGTGAGTAGTGGAGTTGTGTGGTTGAATCATGGACATGATTAAAGCATCATGAATGGTGCCCTTGTCTTTCGGACTTTTCCCTCAACTTTCTCAAGTAAGAAGTGAACTTCTTTATTGATGACTTCTTTACTCTAACCGTAATTCAGGCATTTTGTGCAATGAAAACACTGACCAAACACTTGTTTGAATCGACGAAAATAAAGCAGGAGTCGGTGTCCGGAAATGGGGCATGAAGTGTATTGTGCATGCATGTACATGTGTTTAACTGCAGCGCGGCTCCGATTTCGGACACGTATTTTGTTCGGCCTATATTTTCTGATTTGTTTGCCATATGCCAGATGAGATTTTACAACAGTTAACCCAACTATTCAACCAGATATTTGAAACCCAGAAAATACCAACATCATTGAAAGAAGCAAAGATGATTCTTCTGTTCAAGAAAGGAGATAAAGCAGATGTCAAAAAACTATCGTCCAATCAGCCTTCTGTCTCATCTATATAAGCTCTTCACAAAAATAATCCAGAACAGAATCAAAGATGCGCTCGACGATAACCAACCAAGAGAACAAGCTGGTTTCAGAGCTGGCTTCTCAACAACAGACCACTTACATGCAATCAATCAACTGATTGAAAAGGCTTGTGAATACCAACTCCAACTGTGCCTAGGATTTGTCGACTACCAGAAGGCATTCGACTCTGTCGAACATTCTGCCATGTTCGAGGCCTTGAGAAAGGTGAATGTTGATGAAGGATATGTCCGAATTCCAGAAGACATTTATACTGATGCCGCGGCTACAAGTTAGTGCGCATGCGTATGAGGGCGGTTACTAAGGAAGTCGCACGTGCGCACTGCATGCACGTTACACGCGAACGCACACGCGCACGGCAGTACGTATGCCATTTACGACCGGACTCGGTACGTTTGAGAAACTGATGAACAGAGTCTACAAAAAGGTACAAGTTTAATGTTGCTTTAAAGTTTATTTTCCTGATTAACGTCGGTCAGCATCGCACCCAACGGCCCAATAGATAAGGATACATAGAATACTAAGACGTAAAAATTAGCTTCTCCAACAAGGTAAAAATATTGAAAATGGTTATAAATTTTTTCGCCCGGTTTGGAGCACTTCATAACCTGGACTCCCTCTGTAACGTAGGGAGAAAAGGGAGTCCACCTGGGCTAGAGACATACATATGTACAAATGTAACATGTTCGCTAGAGTGTGGTAGCAAGAGACTCTAAAAAGAAATGGCCTCTCAAAAATTGTTAATTTTCACCTCTAATATCCCACCCCAGATTTCATTTACATACCTCATACATTCAGCAGTCATTCACGAAGGCTAATGATCGACTTTGAAACAGACCACAAAAACAAAAAAAAACAAATGTGAAAAATCTTGACGATCACGGTGACTTGTCCGTAAAAAAACGCTAGTTCCTACGGCTGTCGAAATGGACATGTCGTCCATTTTGTTTTGTTAGGCCTAATTATGTAAATGTATGCATCACGTGATGACATCGAAAAAAAAATCTGCGCATGCGATTTATGTGGGTACCACACCACTTTCAGGCGCCGCAAGTGAGTTCAATTTTGGTCTGGTGGTTGTCGCGAAAAGCATGACAATGAGAATGCTTTCCACGACAACGCACCAGACGAAAATTGAACTCACTTGCGGCGCCTGATAGAGGTGTGGTACCCACATACATCGCGTGCGCAGATTTTTTGCGATGTCATCACGTGATGCATACATTTACATAATTAACAAAACAAAATGGACGACAGCCGTTGGAACTGGCGGTTTTTTTTACAGACAAGCCACCGAAATCATCAAGATTTTTCGCATTTGGTTTTTTGTGGCCTGTTTCAAGTCGATCATTAGGCTTCGAGAATGACTGCTGAATGTATGACTATGAGGTATGTAAGCCCGGCTAAGCCCGACTGCATCTGGCCGTACAGTACTATCGCAAGCTCTGTAGTACGGCCAGACCGCCAATACTCCCCTAAACGCTGAACTCTGATGTAGCGATTTTGCTACCGATTATGATTGAGATTTTCTTCTCATCCAGGACAGAAATTTCCAAAGTTAAGGTTCCTAGTCGAAGAGGCACTCATACCTTTTGAAAAAAAAACGTTATTTTATCTAAAAATGTTCATCCATCTGGCCAAAAGACGACTTTCAATGAAATCTAGATGTACCTTCTCCATTGGTAACCCAGCATGGTAATTTGTCATGAGGCACCTGCCCTGTTTAGCAGCTTTCTTGCTCCGATTGCAGACGGAACAGGAAATGACGTAATTTTGATGTCCCGGGTCATCCCATACCAGAAGTACTTCGCTTTTATTTTGGCAAGAGTTCTGTCTACTCCGGCATGACCTGCCGAGGGTATGTCATGGCGACATGATTCTGCAGTGCCCTTGGCACCACAAGAAAACCCTTGTCCTCGACCTTTTTCCACAGAATCCCTTCTTCGATATGGAACAAGTTCCGGTTGATCCAGAGGTATTTCTCTGCTGGACCCCACAACATGACTGTGCCTTCACCAGGCTCCTCTTTAATTAGTAGCCATTGACGCAAATGAACCAACTGGTCGTCTTTCTCCTGCTCCTCTTGCAGGAGTTTGCCTGAACATGGTTCGTCAGAACCTTCAGCAACTGATGTAATGGAATAGTCAGTTCCATCTACTGACATCAGGAAACCATCGTCGGTAGCTACCACCTCCATACTAGTGATGGTGTAGGCATCTGATGCAATCTGGTCTAACTTGGCTACCCTGACCTGTTTGGGTCTAACGGCAAGGAGTACAACATCGTCAACCTTGGCCACAAAGTGAGCACAGTTCTGGTGAGCCTTCCTACAGTAGTTACAGCCTTGACATGGGAGATCCTCTGGCTGCATCCCAAGTTTAAAACCTTGGCAGGGGCTTTCAGCTTCTGGAATGCGGGAAAGGGCGTCCGCATTCAGGTGTTTCTTTCCTGCCCGGTGCTCCACTGTCATGTTGTACTGACTTAGCTCCTCTAGCCACCGCGCTATCTGACCTTGGGGCGCTTTGAAGTTTAACAGCCAAGTGAGACTACTGTGGTCAGTTCGGACTACAAATGGCTTGCTTAGTAGGTAATGACGGTACTGCTGTGTGAATTTGACGACTGCCAGTAGCTCACGTCTGGTGACGCAATACCGGCGCTGTTCAGGGGACAATGAAATACTGCCATATGCCACCACCTTCTCCTGGCCACCTTGAACTTGAATGAGCTAAGCGCCCATGGCAGTGTTGGACTCATCTGTGTCCACAATGAAAGGATCATCTGCATTCGGTAGTGTAAGAGCAGGGGCAGATGTCAAGAGCTCTTTGATCTCCTCGAATGCATGTTGCTGTTCGGTACCCCAAGTGAACTTGTTTTTACCGGTGATGTTGTAGAGGGGCCCTGCCACTGAGGCGTAGCCCTTGAGGAACACCCTATGATAATTCACCAGTCCCAAAAACTGTTCCACCTGCTTGGTGTTTCTTGGCCGCGGCCAGTCTTCCACTGCTTTTACATGTTCCTCCTTCAGTTGCATACCGTTTCGGTCGATGCCTCTGCCCAGGAATTCCACTTTACGTTGAAACAAGGCACACTTCTTTGGCTTCAACTTAAGTTGGAAATCCTTAAACCGTTGCAGCACTTGCATAAGATTCACAATGTGATCAGCGACAGATTTCCCAAGAACGACAACATCGTCCAAGAAGGCAAGAGCAATGTCCCAATTAAGACCTCTAAGGACCAGGCTCATCACTCGGCAGAACGTTGCCGGAGCATTACATAAACCAAATCCCATTCTGACGAACTCGTACAAGCCGTACTTCGTGATGAAAGCCGTTTTCTTCCTATCACCTTCATCGATCTTCACCTGCTAGTAGGCAGTATTAGCATCCAACTTGGAAATGTTGGGCAAGGGATAGACGTCCTTCCGAGTTACCGTGTTCAAGCCCCTATAGTCTACACACCAACGGACGCTGCCATCTCGCTTCCTCACGAGGACAGGAGCCGATGCCCATTCAAACGTTGAGGGTTGGATTACCTCAGCAGCTTCCATCTTGTCTAGATGTGCTTTCTCCTCGTCCGCAAAACTCATGGGAGTGCGTCTCATTTTATGCTTCACCGGTTTGGCCCCTTCGGTGATGATCTGGTGTTCAATGGAGGTAAAGTTCCCAAGATCATATTCATCTCTGGCAAACACATCTTGGAACTCGATCAACAGATTTCGAAGTTGACTTTGTTCATCTTGGTTCAAGTGTTCTGCAGACCTCTTCAGAAGATCTTGCAAGTGTCCAGGCACCTCAGCATCAGTAGCAACAATCACCTCGTTGATAGACAGACTTTTGTCTATGTCTTCAACTGGAATGTCCATGACCGCAGCCACCTCTTTGGCGATTTCCCAACCTGGCGATTTCCCTTTAGTCGCACATTCTGAGCTGTGGGGTTGATCACAAACAATTCCACTTCCTGTCCGGGACTGTGGACAGTCCGGGGCAACAGAAAACTCAAACCCTGGGAAGGTTCAACCATGAACTGTTCCAGTGGTTTAGTCACCTTACATGGAACCTTCTTGACATAATTTGGGGGGATAATTGTCAGCTTACGAACCATTACTGGAGCAACTCTCGGAGGTTGGTTCCCCTCCCCGAATACCATGGGTATGTTCTCATCCTCCAGTACCAGCATCGAATCTTGGATGTGTATGTTTATCTTGTGTCGTCGCAGGAAATCGATTCCCAAGAGCATATCGTCTTCAATCGGTGCCACGTATACTCTCTCAGTGAAGGTCTTGCTTCCAAGTTTTACTTCTACTGGACCAGCAATTATACCTTTCATCTTCATGTTCCTTCCTGCAGTGTTCAACGTCACATTCCTGATTTCGGGTGGTTTGGGATCTAGGGAGTTGTAGATGTGATCGGAGATGATTGTGACCTCTGCTGCTATGTCGATGATCGCCTTAAGTGCCATGCTGTTTAGACCAACACGTACGCTGAACATCGAGCGTGAATGCAGTCGACAAACAACTACTTCCTCCCCTCCTTCAATCAAATTTGAAGATTCCTCCGTAGACTCATCAGCTCCAACGCTGCACTGCTCAGGACAGTCCTCAGCCATGCCGTTAATGTACTCCTGAAAATGCTGCACCTGAGTGACCATCTCAGCGAGCTGAACCGTACTCTCTTCCAACGTGGACTGACTGGAAGTAACTGCTTCAACCACAGCACTGGATGAAGGTGATGATTGCACAGAGGGACCCGAATCAGCAAGAGTGACTGTATTGGTTGGTGTGTCTATTATTGGTAGTCGGCCGTTAGTTGCTCGGGGCGGAGATCGGCCTCGCTCTCTGACCCGCTGTAGTTTGACTGGTCATCTATGAAGGAGGCTGTCTTCTCCGTCTTGACACCGGGGCAATCCCGTTGGAAATGACCCAACTTTCCACACTGGAAACAAGAACTTCGGGACATGTCAAGGGCTGGTGACCTTGATCGCTCACGAGGGCGGTGAGTTGCAAGAGCAGTCAACTTATCCAAAGACCCCTGGATGGACTTGAACTGGTCTTCTAAGGTTGTCATTCGTTTATCGAGAGATGAGAAGTCCCCTGGATTTGGGCGTCTCGGCGGTGTCTGAGCAGTGATGCCCACCTTACACAAGTCCGCTCCCATACCATCCACATCATTGACTGAACGACATCTCCTTTACATGTACATCCTTCCTGGACCTTCCATAAATCGCCCTCTGCGTATGCTGAAACCACTTAACACAATCTACGGCAGTTTCTATGGTCGCCGGCCTAGAGTTGATGGCGTACAGGCCAGCCTCCCGATCGGAACAGCCCTGGCAAAACTTCAGTACAACCTGCTTCTGGACATGCATCTCCGGAAGATTTGGAAAGGCGCGAGTCACCATGTAGAGCACTCGGTCGGCCCAGTCCAGGATGGTCTCCTCAGATGACTGTTTGGCGTAATTGAACTGCATCTGGGTCGCCTCTGGTAGATCCCGCAAACCAAACCTCTTCTCCATCTTCTTGATGAGATCAAAGTACTCCAGGTTTGGCTCTCGCTCACTGAGCATGGCGTAGAACTCGCTTGCCATGGCCTCCAAACACCAACAGAGGTTATTCTTCCGCTGTTTCGCCGACCAGTTGCATTCATCGGCATAGGATGAAAACCTAGCGATGAAAGCCTGCCAGCTGCTCCTTCCGTCGTATGTGATCGTCTTCGGTAGAGTCGGATGTTTGGGCGTTGAGGCACCATCTGTCCACTTAGCAAACGCAGGTTTGCTCGACCAAGTCGCGGCGGCATCCTGACCAAAGGTGGGTGCGGAGGATAACTGTCGAAGGGATATGGCGACTCCAGAAACCTCGACATCAACGGATCAAATTCTGAGTCCCACTCTGAAGGCTGCTCCATGCATCTTGAACTGACATCTGACTGGGAGCAGAAGCCGTTGCCTGAGGTCCCTGTCTGAACCTGGACTTTGGGGACGCCATGTTGACTGGGTGACTTCCCTCCGAGAAAGGAATGTAGGGCTTGAAGTCAAGCATCCTCATAATGTCTGGCATGCTCCGCACACCTGAAACTGACATGAGCATTTCTGGTGTCATGTCACCATGGGCACTCCGCAAATCTACAATCGTAGTTGCTAGAGCGTCTCCAACACCAGGAACAGTAACTAAGTCCCGGTAAGAACAATGATTGATGGGTATCTTCTCCATCTTGAACTGAAAAGCAGTATGCTAGGGTTCTTCTGTTATATTTCTTTATTCTAACCCTCACTGCTCTCTGATTAGTCTTTTAATTTTCACAACAATGAACAACTCAAATTTTTTTTTCAATAACACCGAACAAACAATGCAAACCTTGCAATACTGTTTTTTTATTTAACACAATGCAACTGTATCTTCTTCAAGTAGGCCTAGCAACTATAAATCACATGTAGGTCTACCACACAATTTGAAAAACGGCAAAACTCTTCAAGAAAAAACACACTGTATGTTGATAAACCGACGAACCCCCGTCGAAATCTGTCTTTCCAAAACTGGCGAAAAACGCGAAAAACAAACTGATTAAAGCAAAAACAGGGGAGAAACAAATATTTTTTCACTTCCCAAGACTTCTGGGATTTTAAACTTAAATGCTTCAATCAATGCTTCTCACTAGGCCTCGGTAATAGCTACGTAATTCTAGGCCTAAACAAAAACGAAAACGAAAATTGAAAAAACGCCTCTTCTTCTTCTGAATCTTCTTGGCGAAAAACGAAAACGAGAATCCTTTTCCTTCTTGGAAAAAACGAAAACGAGCTCTGCCTCGGGTTGCAAAACGAAAAAAAAAAAATTCGAAAAACGATGTGACACTGGGCTTTTTAAAAAACCTCGCAAGAATACTCGACTGTCACAAAAACCACGTGTAATTACAAGAATCGATAAATCGAAATCGACTACGTACTCGAAATTCTCCTGACGGTACGAAATCTCCACGTGCGTGACTGCACAAATCGACTAACCGAAATCGAAATCACGTAATCGAAATTCCTTTAACGTTACGACTGCTATTAAACGTGAGCGAAAACGAACTGATTTTACAAAAAATTAACTCACAAAATTTAGGTCACTGAAACGTGCAATCCTTTACTAGACACGTTTCCAGATATCATTAACAATTGGGTAAACAATTACTAGAGCAACGCAGCGCAGTCCTCAAGCCCCTATGGGCAAAAACCCTCCCCAACCCGGCTGTCTTGAACGAGCTGGATACCCGGCGGCCTCGTGGTCCCACCACGCCACAAACTTTGGTCAGTGTTCGTAGAAAGCGATCCTGTCTACGACGCCAATGTAGTGTTTTCCGGGGTCGACTCACCCTATCTTCGACTAGACTACCTCCGACGGTCGTAAAGGGATCGTACGGGCCTCAGTTAACCACCACTAGGTTCCAGAATAGTTTCCGAAAACGGCACAAGTTGTCGGGTGTTTATGCCTCGGTTGTTGTCAGTTCTCCATGATGTTCTTGGGGGGGGGGGTCAAAGGGCATAAGAGGACCGCTCAGCGCATGCTCCAAGGGTTGGGTCACACCAAAGGATAAAACAAGGGGTGTTCCCATGAATAATTAAACCCGATACTACAACAGATGCTTCGTTCTCAAAAATATTTTCCTCCGCTAAAAATGAAGTCCACCCAGTATTCCCGTATCCGCGTATCCACTTCCTGACACCTACTTTGGACTTAGTCCGAGTAACTTGGACCCAACTTATCGCCTTTTTTAACATTTGGAAATGGTCTGGCGATAGTAGGGTCCATGCTAATACCGCGAGCTGGACAACACCGTCCCAAAAACCAACATTTTCCAACAAAAAAAACATCAGATTTCACCTTCAAAACGTACATTCGATGGTCCCCGTATCTCAAGTGCGATTCCGTTACCGAGCGCGCGCGACGCATCGATTATACTTCAGTACTTCAGTACAACCATCTAAATCATCGATGTCTACTTGTACCTCAGGTGGCATATCTAGTAATTTGGAGGCCGTTTTGAAGGTGAAATCTGACATGTCTGATGTTTTTTGTTGGAAAATGTTGGTTTTTAAGACGGTGTTGTCCAGCTCGCGGTATTAGCTTGGACCTTACTATCGCCAGACCATTTCCAAATGTTAAAAAAGCGATAAGTTGGGTCCAAGTTACTCGGACTACCTTGGACTTTATTTATTTAACCCCTGCTCCCCATTCAATTCACGTTGTCCCTGCTGGCCGCATTTCTTAATACAGGGAAATAGTGCCCTCTTTAGACCCTCCAGCGCTCAAATCCACGTATATTGTACATGTTGTATCTGCGTATCCACTTCCCGACATCTACATGTACTTTCTTTGGCCATTTAATTTTAGGGGGTAATTTTCGCGTGGCGGGTTATTCTGCAATTACTCTGAGTTACTCAAGCTAGTAGTAGTACTAGCTAGCCTAGTCCTACTCCTAGAACTATGAGGCTCCACGTAGTGGGTCAGAACCCCGCAAAATTGTTGTCAGCACAAAACACTAATTAAGTACAAAAACGTCCATCCCAACCAAGCTTTTCCCCACAAAACCGCTGCACACTGCAGTTTGCCCCTAAACTCCGTACAATACCTCATGACATACTCACGTTATGTGCACCTAACAAACATCAGTGGATTCTGTCGGTTGTTTGGCCAAAATGATGAAAAAATGCCCTTTCCGCACTGAGCCAACCTGACACTTGAAACGTGCACGCGCGCAGAATGATCGCAGTCATTTTCGGGTTCGATCGCTCGGAGCGCGCCGCGGGGAGTACGTACTTGAACGCATGCGCATACTATTGTTCCGCTCCTACATACACTATACGTTGCGTATTTCCTCCACTAGAAACTTCCTGAGGAAAACAGTAGATCTAACTGTAACTGGCCAGCCCTCTTATCTATTTTAATCCTTTGCCCAAACAGAGGCTTTATAATCCTAAACACTTATACAAACACACCTCACCATGGGGGTTGTCACTTGCTTATTGTAAGCGCTCAGGTATGAAAACGCTGTGTATAGGGCCTACATACAGATAATGTACAGGTACTATGTGCAGACAAGAACTTGCTCTACATGATGTAGTTGAGTTTGTTTCTGCATTCAGTAGAGGAAGTTGAACAATAGAGGACAAAAGTATCTTTCAATTGTTAATGCTGATCAGCTTTTTTTTTATATATAAAGTGGGGGTCAGCATAAGCCCCCAAAAAAGAAAGAAAATCTGACCTTTAAAACACATTTCGGTTTTACTTTGGGTCTGAAATTGAACAGATGTAAGCCTATAGATTCATTTTGAATGTTAGCTATTTTAGGGTTGTTTAAAAAATAGGTTACAAACGTTTTAATTGAGCTAAAACTGACCAAATCTGTTTCAATGTCTTGGCAAAAATGGACAATGTCTGAGGTACATGTAGTTTGTATTATGTATTTTGAACCCAATTTGTGTTACATGTACATGTTCACCCATTTCCGATCTTAAAAGAAAATTTACACTTTGAAGTGTTGAGTCAACTAACTCTTTGCTTCCCTTGTGTTAAAAATGTGGACCCAACCTAAACTTATCCATTTCTAGGATAATTAGTGTCTGAAAATAAACTACCCCTGTCTGTTGGCTAATTTCAAAAATATTTCCCTTAGTAGGATAAAAGAATTACATGTACATGATCATGATGATTTTAATTAATAGTGGAATATAGCGTTTTGTTTATAATTTTTGGAAAATAAATACGTGGAAAAGTATTTGGGGCGATGGGCGAACTGACTTGGGGCAATGTGGCTGTTACACCGGCGATGAATATGGGGCAAAGTGGTTGATTTTCCATTTCTGGGGCGAAGTCAATGACTGGAATTATCGGTCGCAAACGGTGAATAAATACAATTCACTTTACATCTTTTATTGTCAATTTCACTAAAATATAAGCAAGTGCCCTTTTCACTATCCCCAGTGAACATTTCACAGAAATAAAGCTCCGCAATTGGAAGCAGAAACGGACGAAACGATCCACTGAGCAACATTGTCCCACGCAGCACAGGGGCAGGAAACACTGCATACCACGCACATGGCCCAGTGCCGACCGGCCAGCGCAGCGTATCCAGATAGGAGTGGCCAGGCAGTACACGCACACCGTGCACACAAAGTTCGTGCGTAAACGCAACTTCAGGTGCTATCGTTTTCGTTTGCCTTTCCGTTGATTTTCTCAAATCGTAAATCGTTGCCATGCATATCAAGGTAAAGCTTGAATATCAATGTTTTACACACACCTTATTCACTGGCAAATAACTTGAATTTTCATCTCGAAAAACGATGCTGCAAATGTTCATAACTTCGTATCTCCACTCTTTGTGAACCGCTCGAACACACACCATGTGAAAATTGGCACGTCTTGCTTCGATCGGATCTGTTCAGAAAAGCCCACGATAAAGCTCTTCAGCCAATCAGAACGCCCGGTTTCCCTCCGGGAAATCTCACCCAGAAACCGAGTGCACACGAAGTGCCGCGAAAAGCGGTGCCATGATCTTCCAGATCGGCACTAGAAGGCGGAAGAACGCGCAACGCATTACTTCTGTTAAAACCAGATCTACAACGAATTTGACAATAATTTTCGGTGGAAGTACACAGCAAATTCTCAGAATGAATGTCTCCAAATTTGAAAACGATCAGTTGAGCACATTTTTTTTGTTTTGAATTTTCAAAGTTCATAAGGATATTTGAGCCCGTGTGCATGGTGTTACAACTGATAATGTAGTAACCAACGGATAATGTATCACCAACCGATAATGTATCACAAATTGACTGATACTGTATCACTAACCGATAATGTAGCAAAAATTGACTGATAGTGTAGTAGAATTTGTATCCGATAATGTATCACGTGTCGACGGATAATGTAACTACAAAATAACTGTATCCGATAATGTATCACCACTGAACGGATAGTGTATCGACCGATAAAGTACCAAAAATCAACCGATAATGTATCAAAAATCAACCGATAATGTATCAGTACAGGGAAAAGGTGTACACAAAATTTGTTTGTTTTATGTCCTATGTATCCCGCCCCACTTTGTGACCGGGGAAAGGGGTCTGGGCTATTGGATCACCCCACCCCCATTATTTTGTATTTAGAGAAAAAAGGGCAGATTTTGAGGTGTTTTTCAAACTTTTCAACCGCCGAAATGTATCAAATAGTACTGA